TCCCTGCCATCCCATTTTGCTGTCTTTTTAACAAGTTCAGACTGCTGAAATACCCTCAGATGCAGTGGCCCCCGGGAGGGGACGTAAGAGCCAAAATTCAGAAGATTAAGCAAGAAGGGAAGTTCATTGTCAGGAGCTATAGTTTGAAAATACAGGAAAGCAACTGAGAGCTGTAAGCAAGGGTCAGCCATCACAGACAGAAACAAAAGAAGGAAATTTAAAGATGAGAAATCAGGACAAGGGTGCCTGCAGCAAGAGACCTGTAATCTTGCTGAACGTGCTCAACTCTTTGCTGAGGGCTTATGCACCCCCTTGTCACATCTTACCTTTCTCTATTACAGCTAGATACTTTTTATTAGTCATGTGGATAATGGAAAATCATTAAAATTTCACCCAAGAAAATACATAAAGGCATAAAGGCTGAAGGACAGACAGTTGAACAGGGAAAGAATCGTGTCAGGGGTCAAAACATTAAACATCAGACTCATTAAAGGGGTTGAACAGCCTTTAAATGTCAGAACTTGCCTTAGTGACAAGGCATGCTGAACCTGCAACAGCAAAGCTGTGCCTCTCTGTGACATCAGCTTTGTGTGTTCTGCTGACCAATATCAATTTTAAGTGAGCCTAGCACTCAGGGGTCAGTCACCAGAAGGGCCTTTGCCATGCAACTGTATTTTAATAGCACTGTAATTTTTATTTATGAAGTTATTGAAGGAACTATGTGTAAGTGCCTGGGACAGCACCCACCCTGCAGTAAGTGAACATCCATGAATTTCAAATCCCGTGTCCCTACTGATGCCAAGGGCTGGCCTTTGTGGGTGCCTGCTCTGCCTGCCTAAGCAGCAGCAACACACACACAGCGCAAGAAAAGGCAGGGGAATGTGAATGTCCACTGCGTGTTTTACAGTCTGCAGCCATTTGGATGCTGCAAGTAAAATAAAAACAAACCCCTAATTTTACAAACAAATGTATCCAAAGTGAAATAGCAACATGGCTATACAAAAAGACCCAAGCCAAAGCCCAATTTTTGAAACATTTTGGACATCATAAATACAGCATTGCACTGTAACAGACAAGATGGGGGTCTGGAAGGAAGAGAGATTTTATTTTCTCTGGGAAAACATGCTCAAGAGCACAGCAACGCAGCAGTGAGTCAGTGCCTGGATCTGAGCGGGGCTCCTGCCGAGATGCTGCCTAGTCATGAAGGGCAGAGCTGTCACCAACATGCTTCAGGCAGCAGGTCCTGCGCACTGAGAGGAAGGTTATCAAACGACTAGCAACAGTAGCAGCAAGCCCTGCAGCCCAACATGCACTGGAACAAGATTCAGGAAGGACACAGGAGGCAAACTGTGGCTTTGTAACTTACTCGCCCACAGCACGTTTGCTCTTTGTGCTGGAGAGCCGTCATGAGAGTTGCACCACGCCCCTGTAATAACCAGGCTCTGCTCGATCCTGGCAATGCCTGAAACAAATCTCCTCTCCTCTTCGCCAGCTCCAGCTCTGCCTCTCAGTCCTTTCCTTCCCTTATTGTCACTATTCTCTTCTTCTTCTTCTCCTTAGGGATTCCCTGCAGTGTCCCCCTCCCAGGTTTCACACGACTTCCAAAGGCTATCTTTCTCGGTCCTCCTCTTCTTTACTCTTTTATCAGCCAGAATGGAGCCGTTCTGTGCCTGAAGGCCCGAGCGCTGCCAGCACCGGCCCCGACACCTGAGGAAAGCAGCAACAATGAGCGAGGGCAGCGGCTCCTGCAACAAACACCGG